ACTTGAGCCGCAGGCGCTGAGCCCAGTCATTGAATTTGAAAGTAAAATGATGGAAACCTCCTGTTAATAATTGCTAAAAGAATACAGGCTACTGATGTTAGCATTATTATTTAACTTTGGACTTGCAATCCAATACATGGTAAAGAAATAAAAAATGGAAAGGGTAAATTATCATCATTTGCTGATGAGGATCTTTATTAAAGAATTAATAGAAGTCATAGAAGTTCAGTGGAGTACCTATTTGAATTATGGTTATGTAAAAGATAGCAATATCAGTTTCTCTGTTAGATATAATGAAAAAGATACACTGTTCCTATGCAGTAAGCTAACAGTACTATGTCAGATAAAAGCCACCTTGCATGAATGGAGAGGCCATTTTGTTAAAACGTTAGAAATGTTATGAAGATGTCAGTTATTTTTAAATTAAGATACAGTTTTGATACCATTCTGATAAAAATAGTAATGGTCAGGTTCTGAAGCTTTGAAGAATAATAATAGTCATGCACATACACATTTATTACACATACACTCTAAAAAAAATAGTTGGAGAGGTTGATAGTGACAAACCCTGTTAAATGACTAACCCACAGTACTTTTATTAGGATGGTGTGGTATAATAAAGGTCAGTCAGGCTGATAATGATACCAGTGAGATAGCCTGAAAATAGATATTATTTTTAAGAGTTTGATATGTTAACAGTGATTAATGAAGATAATTCACTATTTAGAGAAAGAAAAGGAAAATGCTTATTATATGTCAAAATGAATAAATTCTAAATGGACTACAGCAGGGGTTGGCAAATTATCAGTGGCAGACTAAATCCAGCCCACCCATTTTTGTTTTGTTTTTGTTTCTCTTACGTACTGCTTTTATAAATAAAATTTTATTTGAACATTGCCACATTTCATTCATTTACATATTGTTTGTGGGTGCTTTTGCTCTACCAGGGCAGAACTGAGTAGTTGGGACAGAGACCATATGGCCTGCAAAGTCGAAAATACTTACTATCTGGCCCTTTGCAGATAAAGTTTGCTGACCCCTGGATTAAAGGACTGTATTATAAACAGTGAAACCACTTTCTTATTATTTTATTATGGAGCTAAAACTTTGTAAGAGATAGAAGAAATCACAAAGGTAAACATTGTCAGATTCTTTTTTGGTATAAAAATGGAGATTTCAGTACATAAAATTTTTAACTCAAAGTACATACTGAGGAAATGTTAATAACATGCTACTCAGGGCTAATATTGTTACATTATAATGTACTTTTATAAATGAACATTAAAAAAAGAACTGAAACTTGAAACAAAGTGGGGAAAGACTTAGATGGCCTTTTCCCAAAATTGCTGGAGTAAATAGAATTAAGGACAGTTTTTTGGGGGAAGGGAATAATTTGCTAGGATGTATGGAGAACCTTTATTATGTCCCTTTTAACCTAATAATTGAGAATCCTTACCTTAGGCGATATTCCTGAATATGGAAATGAGAGTATTCACAAAGATATTCATCAAGGTATTACTGATTGTACAAAGTGTATGGAAACTTTAAATGGATCAACTTTAGTTGTGATTATATAATCTCAGTTGCTATGCAGGAACACTGGAGCCTGAGGCAAAAGGGAAAAAATTAGTAATACTGATCCTATCTTTATTTAATGTTTTGATATTTTGTTCAGCATAGATTTTTGACTAAATTTTGATTTTTAAAAAAATTGTATAAAAATGCTATCTTGATTACTAAGGTTTTTGGCAACCTCTTAATTTTGTGCCTGAGGCAAATGCCTCTCTCACCTAATCCGGGTCATATCCCTGTAATCTGATGTCTCTTATGTAATATATATTTGTATTTCTCAAACTTGAGTTACGTGGTGACATCTACAACAAAAAAGGAGGTACATCTCAGATGCCCCAGATTTTCAAGAAGGAGTTTTGCGGGAGTTTACAAGTTTCAGTGTGATAAACAACACATTAAAATAAGAGTTATATCTGTTACTTAATGATTTCACAATTTTATGGTATAATTGTAAAAACCAAACAATAGCACTGAAAATTTACAGTAGAACTCAGTTATATGATGGTTATTCATGATTTACAGTATGTTTACATGCGCTTAAAATTCATAGAAATAATAATTTTTAAAGTACTTTTATAGAATTCTGAGATTACCTAGACCTCAGGGATTCTTGGACTCCAATTTTGGAACTGAGCCACTGGTATAGTAAGCCATTAGAAATTATTTCGGGGTAATAGGTAAGAATATGCAAAAATTCAAATGATTAAAGTGAGCAAAACATCAGTTTTTAAGAATGTTATATTTAATATAATTACAACTGTGTAAAGAATTCAAACCTCTGAATAGAGGCAGGGAAAAGACTGGAAAGAAATATACCCAAACAACAACAGTGGTTGTCTTGGGGTGATAAAAATATGAGTAGAATTTTTTCTTATTTCTACTTATCTAAATTTTCTTAGTGGTTGTGTATTACTTTTATAATAAACATTAACTTATACTGGAAAATTTTCAAAAGTAATTTATAAATATCTGGTAGTACCATAGTGTCATAGGCTAATTAGATAGCTACTTTCATTTTTCCTCTTAGTCTTCCAGCCCCATATTGTAATTATAGTTTGCTTGTTGTTTGTATTGTATTATTTTTTTAATTAATGTTAATGTAAACATTTTTATCCTCTGTATAGCAATAGTAAAATGTCCTGAATGTCTGGATGTCTTTAGGTATTTATTCCTTTCTCTGTGTATTTATCTATTTTTTTCTTTTTAAAGGAATATAGTCATGGCCAACAACAAAAAACTCAAGAGGGGGAACTGAAAATTAGCGCTGTGTTTTCAGTCAGTGGCAGCCCTCTTGGTAAGAAACAGAACTGAATAAAAGAATTGTATTTATTCTGACAAATATGAATGAGAGGAAGTTCTACTTGTATTAATAAACTAGGCAGTACTCTGCCCATTTAGAATGCCTTTAAATTTTATACTGTGTACTTACTGTTGGGTTTTAAGACTAGCTCTAGAAGTGAAAAAAAAAAGAATGCATACACAAAACTCATGGTAAAAAGTAAAATTTTTTTTCTTTCAATTTTTTTTTTTT